CACCATGCACGGCGGGTCTGCCGGCGGAGACACGTCGCGGGCAGGAGCTGGAGGCAGCTTTTATTCACCACCACCTCTGCTGGCCAGGCTCATCGGAAACCCAACTAGTAACTCTGGCCCCAAAATCCATCCCCATCCTTGTAGAAGCCGCTGGAGCAGCTGCAGCCCTGGAGGGGCCCAGCAGGCTGGAGCACCCCATTTCCCCCAGCCCCAGCCCCTGCCTGAGGCTCCTGGGGAGGCTTTGGAGGTGGTGGCCAGGCTGTGCCACCCACAGGGCACAGCGAGCACCTGGCTCTGCCCACCAGCACCTCTCGAGGTCTTTAGAAAGGGCTGGAGATGGGACCGGTGCTGTGCCAAGCACCCCGAAGCAGTGGGGCAAGGCTCATCACCCCTGCTTCCATTGCACCTGGAGCCAGGTGGGATGTTGTCCTCCTGGACTCCTTTCAAGAGCATTAATTAACTGCTCTTTTTTCCCAAGCCCCTCTCCACAACTCCAAGGGAACAGGGTTAAAACCAGGCTGTGTTTGCAGTGTGATGGACATACAGGGATGGCATCGTTCGGAGGGGTCAGGCTCTTGCACGGTGGCCTTGACCCCCAGTGGTCCCCACGCACACACACGCTGCCTGGGGCTCCTGTGGCACTGCGTCCGTCCCCGGCTGGCGGGATGTGGCCGAGCTGGGGCTGGCTCCTGGCCAGCACAAGCTCATCTGTAGTGGTCACAGCCACATTTTGCTCTTGTAAAATGAAAAAATCATGTTCATCTTCTTGTTGAATGCTCTACCCATCAACCCATACCCCAAACACTGAACCCCAGGTGGGCATGAGAAGAGCCCAGGGAATTTTCTGCTTAGGAGGTTGGGGCATGAGGGTAGCCATCAGCTGACGAGGTTTCCAGCCGCTCCCACATTGCCCATTCCCAGCCCATTTTCATCATAACCAAGTGTCCGAAAGGAGTTTCTCAGAGCACCACCGCTTTTGAATATTTTATTAGAGACCGAAGCCAGCACAGGATATTGAGTACTTCGGCAGCAAAGCAATACAGTGCATGGCTGGCAGGGTTTAATACGGAGCTGATTGTATTTCCAATTACGAGAAATGCACTGAAGCCAGTCCTGAGGCAGGCCAGAGAGCTCTGAGCGCCGCAAATCTGGGCCATTTAGCTACGTTATGTCTTCTTCTCCTCCCTCGTGATTCATCTGGAGAGCAATTAAAGCCCTTGTAAAAATGTGTTCCCAATTAAAGAATGAGACTGGCTTTGAAGGATTAGACAAATCGAGGAGTAATTGTTGCAGCAGCGCAGGATTTGTATGAGTATCCCTTTTTTCATTTGTAACAAGCAAAATCCTGTGTGAACCGGTGGGAATGAAAACTGCTATTGGAAACCTGCTCCAAAGTATACTGGGCGCCCTTCCCTAAATTAAATTTGAATCCGGATTGGGGCTGGGGCTTTCAGAGCTCCACCTTACTGCTGGGCTGTTTGCGATGCAGCAAAGCAGAGCAAGCAAAACCCTTTCTGGAGAGGCTGAGCACAAACAGGGGTTAGATTGCAAATCGCTGGTACCCGCTGGCCAGGCCACTCGGCAGCGTCCCTGGGACGGCAGGGACCCCGCTGCACCGTGCCCTGCCCTGCCCGTTACCTCCACCCCGGCGCAGCCACCAGCACCGAAGCTGCAAATCCACCCTGTGTGCACCAGCCTTACTCTGATCCCCCTGAAGCCGCTACATGCTTCAGGCGGTGGCTCCTAACAGCTTCAAACAACCGTATTAATCTGTGACAGCCTCCCTCGCCAAAGCAGGCAGGGCGGCGAAGGCGCGGGGAGCACAGCGGGAGCTGCGCCGCCAGACTTTTATGGCCACAAAGGCCAAGTCGCACCTGCTAACGGTTGTGAATAGACTTGCAGACAGCACCAGGTGTGCCATCGCAACAGATTGCACAACTGGGTGTGCCTTTCATCTATCTATAGAGCCCCGGCCAGGGGATGAAGCCTGCTCGGCAATTGTCCTAATTTAGCAAAAATCTTATTTGTCCAGCGGGTCGCCCTGCTCGGTCAGCACGCGTATTTCAGGAGCAATTATATCGGTTGCCCTTGGCCCGGCCCCGGCCGTGGCCCTGCGGGGAGCCGGGGAGCGCTGCTTTTGCCACCCACCCTGCGGTGTGATTCAGCGCGTTTATCGAAAGGGCCAGCCCTTCGCAGGAGGCATTTTAACCACATCGCTCTTCAGCGCTTGACACCACGAGGCCCAGGAGTAGCTCAGGGCTTGTAGATCCTTTACAAAGAGGGCAATAAACAACAATAATAAACGAGGTCTGTGTACTCGCAAGGTGCTGGTGACATCTTTTCTGCCACCTAATAGTGAGCCTGACAGCGACACTACATCCAAGATTTTATAATTTCAGGCTTCATTAGAAGCCTGAGTCATAATTTCAGGTTCATTAGATTATCTCTACATCCCAAAGCCACATCATAAAGATGAGAGAGCTGCTAAGGTTTGTTTTTTAAATGCAGACCACTCGATTGTACTCAATAAAAGAAAGACACTGATCTCATGGGGATGTCTGGATGAGATCAGGTAAGATTTTTGCAGGCTGGAGTCAGTATTCATTAGCAGCAAATGGGGACCCTGTTTTATTCTGAACTGCCTGCTCTCCACGGATATATGTGCGGTGGCATGTCCGAAGGATGCATCTAAAACACAGACGTGATTTCAGGATTCCATTAGAAGCACTTTTTTCCTGCCTGGGCTTGGCTGATGTATATCGGATTTGCTCTAATTATGATCTTTGAAATGAGCCCTGACGAGAGAAGTGGCATCTGAATTGCTCTGGTTGTATTTTTATAAATGTGAATCATCTACCCTTTTGAAAAAAGTTCAAGCCCTTTCTCCCGCATTTTCAAACCTTCTTAGTTCCTTATAAAAATCCCCACCCATTAACAAGGAAAAAAGAAAAGGATGAAGATACATTTATATTTAATATCGCAAAGTCAAACACCAGACACAACATTGCTTTACGCACAGCTTTCATTATATTGCATCACCGCTGTTTCTGTGGAAAACTCCCAAATTGTGGAGGGGAACCGAAGTAATCCCTTCACCATTGCGTTTCTGTTTTGAGAACTACAGATTGCAGGGATGGCCGGGCAGAGCACAGGGCCCAGGTTCAGCATCCCTGGGGGTGGCCCGGGTGCAGCATCCCTTCAGAGCCACCGCAGTCCTCTGGGGTTTTATAGGTGTTTGCCCAGTCCACCCCTGGGGAGGAACGGACTGGGAGGTGGGGGCAATGCATCACATCAGGCCTTCTGGATCACAAAGTGCTGGGGGACTGCCCAGCTCATGCAACTGCCCTCTGTCATGCTTATCTGGAAGAGAAATATAAATTGCATCAAAAATGCTTAGCCCGAAGCTTGCATCGGCAAGGTGGCCCCGGAGCACGGTGGAGGGCTGGTGCCCCTGCCCGTCCCCATGCCCTCCCCGCTTGCAGCTTGCAAGTCCACTGCCCTGCTGGCCAAGCGATGGGGAGCAGCCCTCTGCTGACCACCAGCAGCAGTTTGGACCAGATTTTGGCAAATTCTGGCACTGCCCCACACGTGCTCTCGGGGAGGGGGGGTGTATGTTAGAGGGACAGCCGCAGCGCCTTGGGGTGGGCCAAACAAGCGCGGGTTTCACACTGCCCGGCTCCAGCCGAGGCACGACCGGCTGGCGCCAGCTGCGTGATGCACACAGAGGTTTTGGGACCTTCACCCTCCCCTGTGCTGGGCTTGGCCAGGTGCTCTCTCTGGTGGCCCAGCAGCCCCTGGTTCACAACGGCCACATTGCACGGTGGCCCAACAGGTCCATCGCGGTCTGACCTGCCTCCGCCGGGGTGGGCTGGCGAGTCCAAACCGAACGCAGGTGCCCAGATTTGAAGGCGCTTCTAGGCAGACTAACCAGTGAAATGTGTATTTGGCCTGATGAATCGCACCTTGAACGCCTGTCACCCACGCGGCAGGTCGGAGCCTTGGGCTGCCACCAAGGTGGTTAACGCAATGTGAGTGCTGCTTGTGAAGCACCCACCCCAGGTCCTGGATGCGGCAGGAGAGGGAATGGCTGATGGGGGGAAAAGCCCTCAGCATTGCACAGAGCCTCGTTAGAAGTGTAGTTTTGTGTCCATTTGTAATTCTGGGCCAAATGGTATTAATACACAAATGCTGCTTTGAAAAGTTTCAAGCTCTGACACTTCCCCCCCTTCCTCCATTACACTGATTTATTTTTCCAAATTACTGCATTATGCAGCAAAAAAGGCTTTTGACACGTACATGCACACACTTATTAGCTTGACACTAAACAGATCAACAAGCTACTGTGTAATAATTTTGACAGAATCAAAACAGACACTTTGGTAACTCCAGCCTGGAATAAAGGCATTATTTATTACACATACTGTAGTCGTTGGTAAAGGCCTCGGCAGCAATCAGGACACATTGCACTCGACATGGTAAAGACGAGGAGCAGCAGAGACCCCACCCCAAATCACTTTCCAATGTAAATACATCAGACAGACAGAATTTATTTACTTTTCACGATAACTCAGTCCTTGACTCAGCGCAGACCAGGCACAGTTCAATGCAAATGTCTCTGAACTTTCACAAAAGGTGTCCGACTCCCACAGGCTAAGGCTGCTCTTTCTCCAGTGGCTTTCCAAGGAGCTTTCCTCCCTCTCAGCAGGAGAAGCAGCAAGCACCAGGTCTAAAAGCATTTTTTAAAAAAAAAATGTTTGTTTATACACATACTGAGATACGCAGTGATTTTAAATCAGCCAGTGGATATCGTCGGGCATCTGTACTGCATTTATTCCAGTTGCTATATGGAAGTTTGCCTATTTGCAGTACTCATCTTCTGAACACGCTTAGAACCTCCGAAGCACACAGAGATACCTACAAGCACATGTAATGCAGTCATGTTAATGAACATTAACTCAGTGAATAACATAAACCACTGCACAATTAAATTGCCAGACTCGATTCTCTTTCATTCATGCTCTTAACAGTTCCACATGACAAATAGCCCACATCTAAACTACGCTGATAGAACAAATAATATACGTTCTAATTAGACCACTTTATTAAATCAAATTGTGTTGCGCAGTACGTCTGTGCAGGTTGTACAGGCTTCAATGTAAACTGCACAAATGATGATAAAATCTCTCAATAAAGCACTTCCGATCACTAGATTTCCAGAAGCGTTATCTGAGGGGTAAGTCCCAGCCTTCCCATTTGGGCGATAAGGAAGCTGAGACCACAGAACACCTCAGTGAAATCCCTTATGTTAGTCACCTCAGAGTCAAATTAAAAGAATTTGGCCTCTCAAGTCCTGCTCTAGAGAACAAAGTTTGATCTAATTAATCAAGTTATTACCCATAAAACAAAAAAAAGCTGCACGTGTTCCAGTAGAAGCCCCCACCATGCACCCCTCCATCACGGCTGCTCGGCATTATAGTGGGAGCAAACAGAAGCACATGATCTTACAGCTGGCCTATTGTCAGAACAACCCACTCGCAGGAGGATTTACAGGCATGTTTGCTTCCGGAATAAAGGTTTGCACGTTCGGAAATGCAATCGTTTTCTCTGGACAGGAGCTACACACCACAGAGAAAGCTGCTCCCTGAAAGCTGTGCAGCACTCAGGAACGTAGTTAGGATGCATATAGCTATTAAGGTTGGCTGCCTTCCCCCCCAAAAAAATATCAGGAACTACAGTGAATACACAGCTGCCGGTACACGGAGAGCACAGTGACAGGCTGGTACAGCAGCTGCACCGGGGTTCTGAGCGACTCCTCACTACGGTGCTAGAGCAGCGCCATGAAAAAGGAGAACCGGGCACATTTACTTGGGCCTTCGTGCGAAAAATCAACATTTGCTTCTCAGAGGCAAATCCTGCCCCAGTGAAGCCAGCAAGTGTTTTGCTGATGATGGAGATTGGGTCAGGATTTTAATTCAGATTTTACTTCCAAATTTATTTCAAGAAAGTTTTGCTCTGTGATGAGTTGAGTGAGGCAGGCAGTTCTCTGTATCCACAGGACCAACAGGAAAGCTTTTCTTAAAATGACGGTGTTTTGATTTTATTTTTTTGGTAGCTTGGGTGCTATGTTGTTCTGGAACCACATGAAGCTGAAGATGACACCCATCGTCTTTGGGAGAGTCTCATCATAAGCAAACTTCATGGAGTCTTCTAAAGGGATTTCTACAACTTCAATCAGCTCTCCTTCTTCAGACTGGCCACCTCCTTCCCCAGTTCTCATCTGGTCTGTTACTTCTGCATAGAATAAGGTCTGCCTAGAACCTGTCACACCAACTCCAGACCTGGAAAAAAGCAGAGAGGAAACTTTTTTTTAGATAAAAAGAAGGTAGCCAGGAACTAGGAAAGGAAACCTGGGTCCTTAACTTGTGTCACTAAGCAACATCAAAACACAAGTCCTTACCCTCTGTTACTGTCATTTAGAACCTAGAAATGCAATGTCATTAATACAGAAACTGATTGCAACTTTCATGCAGAAATACCAACACTTTTGCATACGGTTGCATACAAAACGGATCTGTCTTCAAATATATTCTGCAACTTTAGAGAAATATTAGTTTGGGAGAAAATAAAAAAATAAACAGGTTTTGAATTGGTAGACTGTGGTTCTACGTATACTGCAGTCAACAGAAGTTTTTCCAGCTGACCTTAGTGCGAGCTGGCCTGCACGATGACTCACAGAGATTCACAAACAACAGAACAAAGCTCCCCAGTCCATCCGTACACTATCATGCTACATTTTTACTTGTTTTCACACAAATATTTAGATTTTTTACTCTTAAGAAGATTATGTCCATTCACAGCTGGAGTCCTCTACTCATGGCCTGGGTAGGGAGAAGAACAGAAAGGCAGCCTGAGAGTCTTTCTCTGTCCTTCCTGAACTTCAGCCTTGACCCAAATGGACCGCTGTAAGCACGCATGTATCTCAAGTAATTCAGTCTCCTTGCCCAATTTGCTACAGTGGATTTAGTCGAGGATATTTTAGATTATGTAGTCTTTCTTCAGCTAGACTGCTTGCTGTGTATTATACTTCTTATTTGTTAATCCTCTATTTTCTTAGGACTATTTCATTTAGGCATTATTAAATAAGGGATAAGTACATAATCCACTCATTTAGTCCTCCCAAGAAAATATACACATTGTAATCGCAACTTCTTCATTTCACATGATTACAAGCAACGTTTCACATTGAATCTAGATCCAAAGTTCACTGAAACTATGAATGAGGCATTAGGGCAAGCTGAAAAATTCCCTTCCATATTTTTATACATACAGAGGATTCTAAGATTTGTAGCAGTGTTATGATCTTAGAATGTACATCAATACTTACCCAACCGTTAGTCAACTAAATCTTCCAGTTAATCCAGCATAAATCACACCCCATAGCAGGAATTAATCATTTGTCTCTCAGTTTTCCAAGAACACCAGCAATTCTTTTCTTTGGAGAATTAATAGGTATTATTGAAGTTGGCTTCTTACAGCAAAATACACTCTTTTTTTAAACACAGAATAGGGAGTGAAACAGTGAATTCTTTTCCTAAAAATTACTACTGATACATTCTGTGAAAGACGTTTCACGACTCCAGGATCATTCCTGTATCTCTTCGAAGTGCTCGAGAAACTTAAGCATCTTTGGCACTCCCAGGAATTGTGAAGGCTGCTACGGGATTTCTTTCATTCCGGGCTCATCACTTTCAGTGTCAGCAGTGGGGTTTTTGATAACCAACACAACGTGACCTACTAGGATGCAGCCAGAGTCCAGGCTAACAGTTTTCCCTCTCTCTTCCACTCTCACCAAAGTACACGACCTCCCCCTCAGTCACTCTGATTCAGTATTTACTTTCTCTACGGACCTATTTTCTGCAGCCACTGTCCTTGCTATTTGTACGCTATTCTGATGACCATCAGAGATGGTTTGCCAGCAGAAGAGCCATACAGGGCCGACGGCCATCCACAGACTGTGCTTGCCCCTGGCGCTAAACCAAAGGGTTTCTCAGGACTCCCCGTCCCACACTGCCTTTTCCCTTTCCCGACTGGAAGCTGCCTGGAAGGGCAACGGCGCTCGCCAGCCGTGCTGCGCTCACCTCACCACAGCTGAAGATCCAGCCAGCGGGTAGCACAACACGAAAGCAAAAAAAGGAATTGCAGGCTGGGCCCACCATGCTGGCTTAATCACGCTGATCTCATTACAAACGTAAGGTAGATTCATTTTTCATCAAGTTGCTATCAGCAACCAGCTTGCAAAAGTTGGAATGACATTTTTTATGCTAATAGGCGCTGATAGTGCCCTTTCTGCCACCAGGGTGGCGGCACACTTTACTAGATTCTCTTTGTGCTAAAATACAACGTATTTCCTTGGCATTATCAAGCAATAATATATAATGATAAAAAGCAACACTGGAAGTGAAATACTGATCAAGAGCAAGGGGATCTATTTGACGCTCCCTCCTGGCTGGCTATTTAAGCTCTAATCAGTTGGTGAACAGCCTCCCCCAGCTCAGTCGCCCTGATACCTGCCCCAAAAAAAGCGCCACGCGTCTCCCCTCCCCCCGCAGCTCTGTCCACTGGAAGGAGCCTTACTTGTAGATTGTTCATTCATTTTCTGTTCCCTCTTCTCCTCCTCCTTTTCTTGTGTGAGGAGGCAGAAAGGATTATGGTTTTTTAATCAACTAGAGACCCAGATCTGTTTTTCTGTATGTACAGAGATTACTTGTTCTTCAATTGTTTCTGCAAGAATTGCATTTTTAGTAATTAAATAAACATAGGAAGCCTGGGGTTCAGAGATTGTTTTTTGATAATTGACAATAAGAGTAAAACCCACATGTTAATTCATACTGTAAAATTTGCAAGACAAAGAATGCAGCTCACTACTCTCCACAGGCACTATGAAAAAACCACAGGACTACGCATAATATATGTAATGTTCTGTTATTTCTGATGAGTGTTAAATCTGAGCTTCCTCTGGGGTGTCCCACCTGGAGAATGAAAATGCTCTTAAATTGAGTATACCCATGTCCACCTGATATTACATAAAGGTTAATATACAAAACCAGAGACTTCTACAAGAACGTTCTGGCTTGATTATTTACAGCATAATCTCCTCCTGTAACACCGGTGACTATTTACTTATGAAATAGCTGCAGCTGTGGAAATCACAGCACTTCGCTTTCCACACATCTTTTCTTTAAAGTAAAGGAAAAGAGCTTACTGAGGTGCTACACTGTAAGATTCAGCTTCTTGCGCCTGTAGCTCAAATAGCACGGCGTGATTTCGATATGACATTATTTCATTGTATTTACTCATACGATACTTCTATTACATCAGCGCTCCTCTATTCTTATGAACTAAATACATCAAGCATGGCTACTACACTGAATATACTGGACATCAATGTCTTTCCTTTGTTATATGCCCAAAGTTATCACGGAATCCCAGAATGGCAGGGGTTGGAAGGGCCCTCAGGAGATCACTCAGTCCCACCCTCCTGCTAAAGCAGGGTCACCCAGAGCAGGTTGCACAGGACATCATCCAGGCGGGCTTTGAATATCTCCAGAGAAGGAGACTCCACACCCCCCCTCTTCACGTATACTGGCCTATCATTTGCCACAGAAACCGATGAAAGATTTGCAACAATACATATTCAAGGAAGGTCATACCCACTTATCTTGCCCTGGTGCAACTTTGCCTTGAGTTATACATTGAAAACTAATTAAAACTTCCAAATGAGCTCTAAATAAAATCAGAGTGCTGGTATTATTACTCATGTTATCCTACTCTTCCCCCCATAACCAGCAAATTTAATGTTTCTAAGACTAGTTAGAATCCCATCACTATTTGGATGGGTGACTTTGGAGACTACTGCATGGCATTCTTTATGTACACACTCATGACTTTTGTTGTCTAACTGCACGTCTATTTCAATGGTTTCAGAAAGAGGTTGAAAGGTACAGGAAGATACTTTAATTCATAAAAAAGGCACATTTCTTACCCTTTTTATTTAATATTTCTTTCTCTAAATGCTCTGGCTTACTCTGCCAGTTGATCATTTTTGCATGGATCCACCTGGAATGCCCTTTACTAAATTCAATATTCTCTCATATGTCTTTCACAACATTTCCAGACTCTTAGATATTAATGTATCCTGCCTGTCCCTAGAAAATTGTCCAAAAATCAATGCTATTGACATTTCCTTTGTCTTAGTACCTTTGGTTTTTATAGAGACCAAAAGTTAGCAGGTTTGTTGCTTTGAAGCCATTTTGAGCCTCCATCTAGTTGCAGTAATAAAGTTTTTTGAACCCATACCCTTGGAAAACGTGTATACATTTCAGTGATTTTTGGTGCCGGAGGAGAAAGAGTGGAGAGAGGGAGAAGGTGGGTCTGGCTGGTAGAGAGGCAACAGGCTGGTCCTACGTTTTCAGTACGCTTTCAGGTTTATCTGTCACTAGGAACTTCCCATGCTTTTGCACACCTACTTGCACTTTCTGAGTACAATGTTTAAGGAATTCTGATGTGCCTTTATTCATGGTTATATTCCTTTTCTGCTGCCTTCTTCCTCAATCACAAGTCTGACATATGCTTTTCCTTGCCCTAGTATTTCACGTTACAAATAAAATGCTTTTGCCATGATCTGAAATGAGTCACCTATTAACAGATTACAGCTATATTCATTAGCTTTGCATCTGTGGAAATCACAGGGGTCAGCACACCCGAACTGCAAGCCATGAGTTTCACCCTGGGAAACCCCCCTTCCTGATAAAGGTGTCTCCCCTTCCCAGTACATGAGAGGCTTGGTTTGGGGGAGGGAAAGCAGGTCTGAACTCATGGCACTGGCCCAGGGTGAGACCTGGGGCTTCAGTCTCATTCCACAGGTTTAGCACCGTGTTGCCCAGACCAGGCATGTCATGGCTCATACTGACCCAGACCTACTAAGCCTGGCTTGACCTAGCTGATTGTTCCAGATGTATTTTGATGTGTCTGTACGGTGCTTGACTCTTACTTACCACTGTGGGACGAATGCAAATGATCTACATAAAGCGCAGCTCTGTTTTCCTCATCTCTTTATCATAAGGATCAGTTTCCTATGAGAGGTTTATAGTTGTTTCAGTTAACAGCTACATGGCTGACAAATACTCTTTGTCAAATCATTAGGGCTTAAGCTCACAAACCCTGTAACTTCAACAGAGAGATATTTTTAAAACAGAAAGTCTATTAGCACTAAACTTTTAGCGTTGCTTCAGAGACAATTAGAAACCTCCATTACCTTTGACAACAGCAAGTCTAAGAA